ATAAATTTATAACACCTAGAATACTAAATTCATTTTTGAAAAAAAAATTCAATTAAGAATAGTTTTCATTGATAAACAGTCGATGATTACTAAAAATTTTTCATTTTGAAGAGAAGGTATTATAAGTTTAGATATTTACAAAAAAAAATATCTACAAAATTTTTTGTGAAAATTCTATTGGAAAAAGACATTTCTTACGAAAAAATCCATTAAAAAAAAGTCACTTTAAAATGTGAATAATTCGATATATCAGATGGTGTACAGTCAACAACTAACAGTTTATACATGGTAAGAACTAGAAATGTCTAATACTCACCAGGAGCAGGGCTTTGATATGGTCCATGGTCATTGGAGTCTTGGAATCTTCCTCATCCTTCAACTGTAATAGAAACTGTAAAAAGTCCTTAAATTCCCCTGTTGTGCTCCCACTTTCTCTCTCAACCTTCAGCCGTTGATCAATTATTTTATTAACGATCCCATTCAACTTCTCCACTGACTTTCCCATACGTTTGATTAGACCTTGCAAATCAAGCGGCGCCAGGAGTGGGAAAAAGTCCGAAATATTGGGCAGACCCAATATCTCTGTCACTTCTGAGATGACGTGCCTTAACTCCGCACCGAGGCTGGCCCTGGCGTCACCCTCCACCGTCCCACCCCATAACATACTGGTGATCACATTCAATATAGTCAAAAACATTTGCTCACCGACGTCTACAGGCGATCCGGTCTTACTATGTATATAACCCACGGTTTCTCGTACTTCTCTACGGCGAAGCGAATACACTTTGTCCAAAGTAGCATTGCTAAGCATCTTGAGTACACAAATCTTTCGTAACATCCTCCATTCAGGACCGTAGAGGTTCCATGCTATATCACGCCCGCCCGTTACTAACAGGGCAGCCGCAGGCACATCACGGTTGGCAAACACGATGTCTTGGTCTCTAAGTACTTCCCGGGCGGTGGATGGGGAGGTCACCAGGATCCCAATCTTGCACCCAAGCTGGAGTTTCACGACAGGCCCATAGGTACGAGCTAGTTCGGCGAAGTAGGAGTGAAGGTCAGGTTGAAGGAAGGGAAGGTTTCCCACCAAGGGGAGGCCGCGAGGGCCTGGTGGGGATGTTGGCTTCCCCTTGTTCTTAGATTTGATGTACATCCATGTATACCAAAAAATTGCAAAAACACCAACAAGGGTGAAGAAGAGGCGTGAGAAATCATCCATTCCGTTGGTATTCTTGCTTAACCATGACCATATATTAGAGTAAGCGTAGTCAAAACGGAGAGAACTTGAGATGAGAGTCATGGTAAAGGGATAACAAGGTAGAGGGTGCAAAAATGTGGCAGGAAATTTGCGCAAAATTGGCCTTTAGATTTTTCTTGTAGCTAAAAGTTAGGAAGGATACTCACCTTTCGTGCTTGGTTGGAGTATGGCAAAGGAATTTAACGGAGTGGATAAGATCAACGTCTATTCGACGTGACTCTGTGCACTCAATGAAGGCTCAATGAAGGCTCAATTAAAGGCTCAAACCGACTTCCTTCTTTTTTCTTGAAAGACAATGGTATTTTATTAAAAATTATCAAATTCTTATGCCATCTATACCTCCATAAGAAAACTCTTCCCTATGGGCTTCAATTAAGGACCATCTAAATTTGTCAATTGCATAACACATGGCGTGTAATTGGAATGGCTCTGTTTGTGGAATTCCATTCATCTGAGCTTTTATCTACTCAATGTTGGCCTGCGCCATGTGCCGCTTTCAATTTCAATTTATTTTCATTTCATTCATGTGAGTTTTCATCAACTCAATATTGACCCACTGGAGCAATTAGCCCACGCCGACTCAATTAAGCTCTTATGGGAGAGTTTTATTGTAGAGGCATAGATTTGTTGGCTTGTGGGGCTGCTGTTTGGCTCAATGTAGATGATTCTCAATTGCTTCACTCAACTTCTAAGTCACAGATTTTCTATAGTAGAGATTTTTCCATGATTTTGTTAGTATTTTTTCCATTTTCAAGGACTCTATTATTTTTTTTACTGTAAATGTGCTTTTAACTTGAAGGATATTTTAAGCTATTTATTTAATTCAATTATTTTTATGTTCTTTCAACTCAATTCTGGAGAGTTCTATGTGTTTTTATGTTTTCCATTTCTTTTCCATCTTATTTGTTTGGCTTCTTTACTTGTTGTTTTATTCCATTTTGGTCTTTCTTTTCTTTACTTTGGTTTGTTTCCTGTTTTTATTCACCTCTTTTGCATGTTCTGCTTCTACGTCTTTTTGGCTTTTTTATTAGTTGTTTAGTTGGGTATTTGGCTATTTGTGGTTTTTGATTTTTTTTTTTTGGTTTCTTCTTTGATTTTCAACTCATTTTCTATTATGAAATGGTAAATGATTTTTTCAAAATTTTTATCCTTTGTAACAAATAATTTTTTTATACTTTTTTATCATTCAAAGAATGGTGTTGTTTGTTAGTATTTAATGTTTGGGATGATTATGTTAAATAAGAATTGAGGATTTTAAGTTTATGCAATATATCTTTTAAGTATGAAAATGGTACTATTTTCTCTTAAAATTTGACATGGTTACTAAGGTTTTATCTTAAATTTGATATTGGAATTGGATAATATGTGGATTTATGAGTTATCCCTGATAGATAATAAAATCTTTTTTAGTTATGTACGTTTATATTATCTCTTCATTTGGGAATTAGTTAATAATTATAATACTTATAGTTCGAAAGGCTTAAGTTTTTTATATTTTTTTATGATTCTTGATTCTTTATTATAGTATTAGGCATGTTTTGAGAGTAGAGCTTCCATGAATTCTTGATTTAGGCATTTAGTTTGATTCTCTTTCACTTAAATTTAATAAAGGAAAAATGATTCAAATTTGCATGAAATTAAATATTTATCATATCAACTAGCAATGCTTTGCGTGAAGCTAACATGGCTGTATTTATGTATATGATCAAGAACAATTGACTTGATTACCTGTATTTCCTTATTACGTATTCCAACATAGCAAGTTATAAGAAGACTTGCTAAAAACGATAAAGGTTTGATAGGAATAATTTTTTGAATGCCTTGAGAATCTACAACTGAAATTGATCTCCCAATTAATTCTGTCTTTCTCATAAAAAGTGCCAATAAACTAGCTTTAATTAATTATGAATGTTGTTATTCAGAAAATAAAAGAATGAACTTCTCTGATTAACTGTATACTAAACAAGTTAGCTTATTCCTTTTTTAGAAATTCTAGTAAAATTTTTATTTATTTATCACTGATATTTTGTCTTAGTTTAATTTATACTAAAAGGGAAGATCAACTTTGTTTCATGAATGATTACGGATTAGTATAGTAATTTTTTTACAATATTATTCATGGATGGTTTTTTTTTCTTAATGTATCATAACATTATAATACCTATATCTATAAGACTATAACTATATATTAAAACTCTCTCTTAAGGGTCTTAATTGGGTTATTTGTAACTTTTTAAATCAATGTAGTGTATAAATATTTCTATAACTGAAAAACTAATATATTTGCTATGTTAACCATTTTGTACCTACTCGCAAGCATAGCACGGACCATACTCTAGTATCTTATGAAAAAAATACTTTCCCTGTCTATTTCATTTGTCTTTTATTAATTTTTCAGATTAAATGAATTTAGTTTTGACTATTATTATTTTAAATATTATATAACATTAAAATCTCAAAAAATCTATTGTGAAAACTTGGAAACTCAAAATTTGGAAATTTCACTTTTAAAATTTTGATAATTTTATTAAAAATAAATAGTCAAAATTGAAGTTATTAATAAAAAAAATCAATAACAGACAAGTAAAATGAGACAAAATAAGTATAGTTTATGAAAATTTACGAGTTACTATAAAGAATTTACTTTGACAACAAATTTAAAGCAACAATTTTGATGCTGTTTGTTTATATATATACATACACACACAACAAAAAGACTTGTCATATTAAAAACTTTTAATCTTCAATTTCAGATTAAGTTAAATATGTCATATTTACTATTGAGATAAGATGATTGAGAATCTCGTATATGCAATTATATGCATTGAACTATTCTTTTGTCTATCATATGCAGATCTCTGTAATTTACCACACAATGATGTCATATTAATTGAATTGCAATGAATATCATAATTATAAGAAGTAACCAATCTTAAATAGGCCAACAGTCAAGGACTCATGATTCAAGGCAAATAAGGGAAGGGGGTGTACAGTATATATTATATTGAATATTAATTTAAATTCAAATATTATTTAACATTAATTTATTTTAAGATAAAATACCTCAACATTTTTAAATTTTAATTGAAATTTCAAACAAATCAATTACTTTTCAAAATAGATATTCAGCCCAAAAGTATAAACACTATTAACAGCTGTTATGAAAAAATTAAAATAATATTTTTTATTAATTTTAAAAAATATTATTATATTTTAAAAAAATAAAAAAAAGAGAGCATCGATTTAGTGCTCTTTTGGTGCTCCCTTATCTTGGGGAGCACCTTTTTTTTAATTAATTAAAAAATTGATAAAAACTAATAAAAATGATATAATAATAATTTTATTATTTTAATATTATCACATCATTAAATTAATGAAAACAATAATAATTTATTAACTGTTAGATTTATGTGTCCAACTAAATATATTTGAAAAACTAATAGACCTATTAAGGATTTTGATTAAAATTTAAAAGATGAGGTATTTTACCCTTTATTTATATATGTTTTTTTTATCAAAAGAAAGTAATAAAAAAGCTTATTACACCATTCTAAGTTAAAATATGCTTAAACAGTTTGCAAATAAATAAAAGTAAGTACTAATCGGAAGAGAATAAAAAATATATAATTTTAAAAATAAATTATCAAAATGTGTAGTCATTCAATGGGTGCAATAATTGACTTCATAAGGTATTGAGAAATTGAATAATCCCAAACCTATTGAAGCAACTTCTTTATAGCTCTCAGCATGGGCATCGGGATTCCAATCTAAAATTTTTATTCATAAAGAGCAGGAATCGATAACCTTGGCGTCGGAACCGCAACCAGTGGATTCTTCAACTTCAAGACAATCCCGAACTTCTCTGTAAGATCCAACTTCATACCTTCTGCCACTTTCCAATCGAAAGAATGCAAGAGCGTGGCAATTGAATACAACACCATCCTCTCAGCCATCGCTGTTCCAGCACAGATTCTGCTGCCAGATCCGAATGGAAAATAATTAAAGTCACGCCCACTAAAATCCCATTTGCTGTTCAAAAACCTGTCAGGGTTGAACTCCAACGGATTTTCCCAGACAGAAGGATCCCTGTGAATTGCCCAGGCGTTGACAAACACCCTACAACCCTTAGGGATAGCGTAGGTGCCAACTGTACAGTCTTCACTGGGGCTGTGCGGGACTAGGAGAGGGAGGGCTGGGTGCAAACGCAACGACTCTTTCATAATTGCAAGTAGATATGGTAATTTGTAAATGTGGGTTTCTTCTACGATCTTGTCTTTGCCAACCACTTCTTCCAATTCTTGCTGTGCTTTTCTCATGACTTCTGGTTTGTTGATGACTTCA